GGGTTGGGTTGGGTTGGGTTGGGTTGGATTGGGTTGGTTCGGGTCACTTACTGCCAGTGCTCCAGTCGATGATACTCAGCAGGATCAGTACGCTTTGCATCTGTGGTTCGTACCGTGACACGCACGTATTGTTACTATGCAGTCCACGGTAGTTATCGTACGCTGCCGTGAGAGACATCAGCGCCTTCCGCATCTCGTCCCAGTTGTGCTTGAACTCAAAGTTGCCCGAGCCAGAAAGTACCGCACTGCCATGCAGGTGGAAGCGGACGATGTTCTCGTAGATGCGCATGGCGCGAGTGTCCTCCAGGATTTGCTGGGACATGTCCTATCCGGGGTTGATGGTGGAACACGTACAAGATGTAGATGGTTAAGGTGGTTGGTTTAAGTTTAAGTTTAAGTTTAAGTTTAAGTTTGGCAGTCGTGTGAACGTACAAGATGTAGATGGTTAAGGTGGTTGGTTTATGTTTACGTCTAAGTTTGGCAGTCATGTGAAGTAGTAATGTTGGACGAGTATACTCAACTAGGTAGGTACATCAGATCCGCGGTAAAATTTAGTATCAAGCAGTGAAACTACTGGACGGTCACGCAGGCCTACACAATTATCCTACCTCGTAATGTGTATACATAAATCTGAGCCGGAGACTGAGCCGAAAACCATACACTCACAGATGGTATTGAAACTCGTTGGTTCTATGAAGTGTGCTTAACGGACAGTTCGTACGACACACTGAACAAAGCCACAGGTACACCGATGTACACGTACCTTAACACTACTCGGCATCTCTAGACACACCAAGGGGTCCAGAGAGAAACACACTATACTTGCGGACAGTAGCGAAAGACACATTGGCAATGGTACGATCGTGTCTCAGGAACATACACAGAAACTGAAGCAACACACAACTGAACTCATACGCCGGGACACCGTCAGATAGCATCAAGGAACCGCCTGTGCACTCGCCTTTCTTTCAATGACTGGTATATGAGACGTGCAATAGCAGATCCACTATGATGCTTCTGCCTAGGTACAATGAGGTGATATTTGTGCGCCCGGAACCAACAGGGCCAGCTTCGTGGGCAGCAGAATGCTACTGGAACACCTGTATGCTACAGGGAAACATGTATGCTACAGGGAAACCTGTATGCTACTGGGAAACCTGCATGCTACTGAGAACCCTGTATTCCTATTATATCTTATATGCCAGGGAACTACATGCGCATCGACTTGTATAACGGTTAATATACCCCTTGTGTCATACGACTGTATGTGTAAGTAAAGCCACACTCACCCGTACACGCATCGCTTCACGAATGCGTGTGTCAATCTGCATGTGTACGTACAATTACAGCAATCAATAACCAGTCCACACAGTGCGTTACAAAGCTTTATTGTGTCATACTGCAACATACCACGCGGATGGCGCGGAATCGATCATTGACGAACTGGAAGCTGGTAGAGAGACTAATAGTCTGCGGAAAAGGACCGGAGACGCCATTGAGGTCAGCAAAAGAAGGTGTGCCCACGTGAAGTTAAGCTGTGGCGTTGTGGGCATGCTGATATACACGTGCAGGATGGGAAGCAGGTGGAAGGTGGCAGGAGGTGTATGCGACGTACTGCTTCGCGGCGTGTCTGAGGGGTCCCGATGAACGGTTCAGTGTACAAGTGTGTAAGGGAGGGCATGCATGCGTAACGACAAGGGCAGCTCAGGAAGGTCTGTTGAGGCGGTATGGATCGCAACTACTACATATGGTATGTGGGCGAGTATGCAATGAACATGGGGTAGTGTGCCACCTTACTACAAATGGTGATGGAATCTCAACGCTACTATAAATGGTGCTAAAAACTTAACGTTACTATAAATGGTGATAAAACCCTAAAAACCCAGCGTTACTATTAATGGTGCTAAACCTCAACGCTATAATAAATGGTGATAAACTCAACGTGCTATGCACTTCCTCAGAATGCCCGCAGCAGGCGAGTTTAGCCAAAATACCACCAAGAAGCAAACAGACCAATGGAACGGCTTGATACTACAGGCATGTATCCCACCGCACACCCGGACGAGACTCTGGGCACACGCACGTGACAGTTGACGATAGCCCTTGAGCGCATGTTCGTGCACCATGCTACGGACAGTATATACATAAAGCTGTGCTGTTACACGTGGAGATCCACTCGGGATATATGCCAGTGAAAACGATATGTGATAGTATTCAGATAGCACGAACTGCGCTCCATAAAACGGATTCGGGATTCCATCGTGTATTCCCTGAAATCCCACACACTACTTACAATAATCCGTAACATACATCAATACACAGAAACCATAGAACCAACCTATGAGGTGTATGAGATAGACACAAGCGTGCCTACGAATGAGGAAACCACACCTTATCGTCCAAAATCACGGACGCGATGTAGTCGAGAGTCTTCTCCAGTGCGGCGGGTGTTCTGATTTCATTCGGCAGAAATTCGTGTTCGGTTGGCGCTGAGCGTCGGAACTTTTTAATCGCTTTGTGGTGGTCACATACTGCGTGGGTGGATAGGTGAGAGGGTATGGTAGCGAGTGTGAGGGGGGTATGGTAGCGAGTGTTTCAGCTGTGCTAGTACTTGAGTCCAGACACATAGCACAGTCTCACAAAGACCCCCCCCTCCTCCTCCTCCCCCACGTACTGGGTACGGATGCTTGTCTGTACTGGAAAGAGACATGTGCTTGTGGCCGTGCCAACACCCTCGCAGTGATCAAGAGTGTATGCACATATGCAGGCAACATATAAACATAGAGGGTCTAGCTGTGCATGAAGTCGGGTGATAAGACGGTTAACTACTGGAAAACAGAATCCCATACCAACACAGAAACCGCTCACTTGCAGTAGCAACATCGTAGCAAAACAACAGAAGCGTTCCATTCCGGAGACATGTTGTATAGGCCAATGGCTACATAGTCACGTCAACTCTAACTTTGAGTTAGAATTGGCATAGCATACCAAAATCAGCAGAAAAAGAGATTTTCTTTTATGGTCTCTTATGTAACGTCACATCCAATAGCAGACTCCCCACGTGACCGACCCTGTCACTTCATACTTCTGCCACTATCTACGCATAGGTCAAATATATACGACAGACGTGCGGCTAAGTATACCGGTCATATATATATAAAATATATGTGTGTGTGTGTGTGTGTGTGTGTGTGTGTGTGTGTGTGTGTGTGTGTGTG